TGTAAACCAAAGGGATCAGATTTTCCTGATTATAAAATAGTAGTGTGTTTTTCTGATTGTTGGTTTTGCATTTTAAGTTTCTTAAATTAGAAAACATGGCAATGCTGAGCGAAGGAATTCATTCTAGAGCATTCTGTATAGGTCCCATCACCAGACACCAGGAAGATTGTTAAAAGCCGCTTTCGAAGCCCTCCATGGGCTTGTTATTCCCAGTACAGACCTGTCTGCTCGGCGGACTCTGGCCTGCTCCACATCCCCGCCCTGCCCACCCCACCATTGGCGGTCAGGTCTTCAGCCTTTCTGCCCCCACCCTTTGGAACTCCCTCTTATAGTCCCTTTGCCTCGCCCCGATCTTGTCTCCTTCGACACCAGTCTGAACCATCGCCTTTGGTCACTCTCCTGTCCCCACTCTCTTTGCCCTCCACCCCTCCTGATCCCAACCCCAGCTCGGACGCAAATCCTTGTCTGTCCTGCATCTTGGGACATCCTCCCGATGTGAAGGGGACTGTGTAAATATAATTTGTTGTTGTTGCTACCATGTTATTTCCATAATCTCCTTCCAACTGGCTGCTTTCTGCTCCACATGGATATCCTGGTTACATATACAAACTAGTTTTTTCCTTAAGAGATATTGTAAAATGTTATTGCAGTTGACATGTTTGAATGCAGCCACTAATGCATGAACTTGTTTCCATCCTATATCTAAATGGACAGATCTTTCTTACAATGCAGCAGAAATGATGGACTGACAACGTTGATTCAGCCAATTTCCTTTTGATCCACATTACCCTGAGATTAATTTATCACTCTGCACATGAAATTTTCTTGATATTGTTGGGAATGTTCAAATTACGTTGTGTGTAAATAGGGTCAGTAAAGCTATGACAGCTATGTTTAACAGCTTAAGGTGTTGTCTTTCTGATTATATCATGGAGACCTGTAGCTCAGTGGTTAGAGCGCTCGCCTCACAAGCAAGAGATCTGGGTTTGATTCCCGGCAGGACAAAACCTTGGGCAAGTTTCCTTACTCCACACGCCTGATAATAATCCCTCAAGAAAAAAAACAATAATACATTGGTCACTTAAATCCACGACTGTTTGTGGGACGCTGCTGTGCGCAATTGGCTGCCGCATTTCGCCCACAAATATACAGTTAGTTCACTTTACAGTATATTCTGTAAAGCGCTTTGAGATGTCTAGAAGACATGAAAAGCGCTATATCAATTGCAAGGATTTTTATTATAATTATATCTTTGTTTATCTCCGAGCAACTGGTTCGTTGCAGTTCATTTTTGTCCTTCTGGATTGAACATTTGGAAAATAATAATAATAATAATCCTTGTTTAGCGTCTTAAATCATTGATTTATCACCTTATCACATTTTGAGACATCTCAAAGCGTTTCACAGAATGTACTATAAAGGGAATTGACTGTATATTTTGTGGGCGAAACGCGGCAGACAGTTGCACACAGCAGTGTGCCACAAACTGTCATGGATTTCTTTTTTGAAGGGATTATTATCCCTGGAATAATATGCTACAGGACTCCACGGTACAATTGAATTCAAATATTTTACAGAAAAATGTCACTTTGAAAAATTGTGGAGTCCTGTAGCTCAGTGGTTAGAGCACTCGCCTCACAAGCGAGAAACCTAAGTTTGATTCTCGGCAGGGCAAAACCTTGGGAAAGTTTCCTTACTCCACACGCCTGATAATAATCCCTCAAGAAAAAAAAATAATAAATTGGTCACTTCGATCCACGACTGTTTGTGGGACACTGCGGTGTGCAAATGGCTGCCATGTTTCTCCCACAAATATACAGTTTACACTTTACAGTATATTCTGTGAAGCGCTTTGTGACGTCAAGAAGACCTGAAAAGTGCTATATCAAATGCAAGGATTATTATTATTTCCAATGTTTTTTTTATTCAGCTCCAGTTTTGGCTCTTGTGCTTGATAATCCCAAAGCATTTGTTCTACAACCAGTAGTACTTATGGCACAATGATATCAATATCACTGACTTGTACAGGTAGCATTTCTGACTTATAGAGATAGAATTTCTGGCTTGCAAGTCGGAACCCCCGATGACTCAACAATTTACATGCAGAGAAGATTGAATAACGTGTCTTCATGTAGGCAGTGTGCAGCACTGAACAAGGGGGTATTGTAAGCACCAGCAAAATATCCAGTTTGAAATATCAAGCAAGGACTGTAACTTGATAATGTACTGCAGTCCTCTATAGCCCCAAACCCTGTTTGTCCAGTTTGATTAAGCATACAATTAGAAGAGTGGGTTTTGTTAAATTGTGTCAAAGAATATGCCAAAGAAGTGTATTAGACTCAACAGGAACCAGGTCGAAAAATTAGTATTTGACCTATTTAAAAAAGCTAATTGAACCCTGGCTAATATGTTTTCTAGTGCTGCTTCCTGAGTGCATCAGCCATGACCAACTCTGGGAAATGTATCCCATATTCACTGAATACCCCCTCTGATTAGTGAATCCATAACAAGGGATCCTAAGATCAGGATAATGATTGGAAGAATTCAGAAGGCGTTGAGAAATCTTTTACGCAGAGGGTTATTAGAAGGTTGAATGGCTTGACACAAGTGCCCACCTCATATAAGGGTATAACAGCACTTAAGGTAATTCAGTGTCAGTCTGGATCATTTGGTAGCATTTTCGCCTGAGCCAGATGGTTTTGGTTCAAAGTGTCCTGACCGACAATCCCCACAAATAAAATTGATCACTCGCTTCAGGGCTATTTGTGGAACATTTCTGCGTGCAAATTGGCGGCTGCATTTGCCTAAAAAGGGCCAGTCACTCCACCTTTCAGTACACCTGTGAAGCGCTTTGCAGTTCTTAACAGGAGCCCTTAACAAGAAATTTGAGTTCTACAGATAGGATACTCCTTCTGGAAAATAGGTTGCATCGACCACAGTACTGTGTTATATATAGATTTAATAAAAGCTCATGATAAACACAGTAGAACTGGTGTACATAATGATAGGACACTGAGACAGATATATGGGGCAGTGAATAAATTTATAATTGTCTGTGTCAAATCTGGGTTGTTATAAAGCATATTTTAGTGCACTATTCAGTGGCTCACTCATAGAAATACAATAAGAATCCAACACATTTAATTGTTTTTAGAAAGTTAACAATGATCCTGGTATGACATGACTATGGATAGCTAGTAATAGGAAATCCCAGCCCTGCTTTTCCAACAAGAAACATGCAAAGTATAAGAGTGTATTGGCATTTGGTAGCATTTTTACCTTTGAGTCAGAAGATTGTTGGGACTTTGAACTTGCATAGTATCACTAGAAAAGAGAAGAGAGTTTCTCCTGGTGTTCTATACTATGGTCAGGTGCATAACCATAGCATACATCTAATTTATGAGATAAATATCACTCAATCAATGGCTCTCAAGGGCAGCACAGTATTTTTGGGGGGGCTAGAATGGTAAACCATATAATGACCTTGTTTCTATCTGAGAAATTTGGAATTTGTGCCTGAGTGGTATAGTCAAACCTCAATTCAACATTCTCGCATTATCGTGGGTAGTTTGGCTTAGTTGGTTGCACACTCACTGGATTAAACATTTGCTGGTTTCAATCCCCATGTTAGGACTTGAAACTCATAGTCACATATTAATGAACAAATCTGTTCACAAATCTATTCATCTGTTTGTGTTGCACATTAAGATAAATAGGGAGGATACAATTAATAATCCTTGCATTTGATATAGCACTTTTCACGTCGGTTTGACGTCCCAAAGCGCTTCACAGAACACACTGTAAAGTGAATTGACTGTATATTATTCCATGTTGTACCATGAAAGCATTTCTTAAAATAACTGGAGTGTGGGAAGACTTGAGAAGGTACTGTGTGGATATGGAAACAATATAGGAATAGGAAACAGACTGCACATGACCCTTGAAATCTTGGCAGAAGTGAATGGTGTTCCAGGACGTGACATCATGTCAGTTTAAAACAAAAACATGTTTCAGAGTTAACAACTTTGAAAGTCCTTCACCTTTTAACCAATTATTTATTTATCAAGAATATTTACCCAACATATGTCCTTGGTTTAAGTGGCATGTTTATATGCCTTGGCTGCAGCTGCACATCTGGAAAAAAATACGATAGGTCTATAAATTGTGAATAGAAACAAAAAGGGGCACAACTTTGATATGTATGTAGTTTCTGTGATAGCTATGATTGTAAAAGTTATCTTCCTACCCCCGTTCCAATTGAGAGAGTTCTTGAAGCAGGCACTTTGGGCACTTGCCAATGTAATTGTAACTTAAAAATTAAAATTGATCATTTACATTTCTGTTATTCCTGTTACACCGGCCTGCTTCAGGTCCCCCTCACTTCCTGCTCCACCATTGGCGGTCGGGCATTCATCATCTTTGCCCCCACACTCTGAAACTCTATCCCACAATCCTTCCACCTAAACCCCTCTCTTGCCTCCTTCAAGTCCCGTCTGAAAACCTTCTTCTTCGATCGTGCCTTCGACTCTACCGACTCTACTCCTGTCTAAAAGTTATTTGGGTGATGTACAGAAAAGCAGAAGTAATAAAAAACATTGAATCTCCAAAACTCCAAATATACCATTCTACTTTCTCTTCCTCCTCTCCACATCATCATTCTGTTCAAATCAAGATGTTATTCTTTTAAAAGGACTGCATGACCTTCAATCTTCCTTTATTCCCACGATGAATCTGCAGTTTCTAAATGAAAATCAAAGCGTTGCTTTTCGATTTGCTTTGTCCTCTATCTAGTACAACATTTCTTGGCCTTTCTTCAGTTTAAAAAAAAGTCATTGGTTGAATGAAAGTGAAAACAATTCTGACACTCAAAGGGATTGCTAATGAGATTACCAGATGGATGTGCAGAACAAAGGGAGTTATTGTATTATTACTGTTTCCTGAGTTCTGATTGCCGGACGAGTAATTAATGCCCACTAATCACACATGCACTTCATTTTCAGTTGCAACTAGTCTTCCCAGATGGGAGTTCAAGTGACACAACAGTGGAAGTGTACCTTCAGCAAACGAGGAGACACTCTAGTGCTGTAAGTCAACACATTGTTCAGTTCATTGTCCTTCATTTTGAGTTGGCCTTTTGGCTAAGATGAAGTGTAGTGTGTGTGTAATGAAATTGGTGGGTGTTGGAATTGGAATCAAGCTCATGAAAACGATTTCAATCAAGGTTCAAATGGATTATTGGACAGAGTAGATGCAAAGCCAAAGCTGACACATGAGTATCTGATCTAATCAAAATTTTTATCAGTGTTTTGTTTAATCCTCTTGGGCTTGGCTCCAGGGTGATGTGCTTGGCAACAGAATGTTGGAATTGAGTCAACCCTCCGCAGCAGTCGGCAATCTTGGTAATCCTGAGCCAGGCAACTCCGCAGTACTTCAAGGCACTGCTGATGACAGACCAGCCAATCTAGTTTATCGGCAGAACTTGGAGCGATAGACTAATCAATGGGAGCAGGGATTCTTCCCACCCAGCCCTGCTAACCCTGCAAGCCAAAGCTCTAACCAGTAGAGTGGTCCTAGCTGTACAAGCAGCCAGGCAGTGCTCTCAATGGTAAGCTGTCTGGATTTAGCTGGTAAAACTCCTGCAGTTATCCAACACACAAACCTTAGCTCTCGCCAACATGCTCGTTATACTTTCCAGAATTGCACAGCCCATTTTAGACACAGGGAAATTTCCACGTGTAGTTGATGTACACATGTACTCTGCCTGGTTTGGATACTCTTAAGCACAATGATGGGTTTCCTACTTTGTTGTTCTACGGCCTTCCTAACTTGTCGTAAATCTCTGTAAGGTATTTGCTTTCTCTTCATCTGAAACACTTGATTCAGTATTTGTTTGAATTAATCAATGTGATTTTGCAGCAATTCATTATGAGCAAGATGTTAATGTTGCATTTACAAAGCTTGCACATAATGAAACCGGTTTTCTTTGCTTCCCAGAGTGAGGATCTAAAATGGCATATTCACACCTACCCCAGAAAAGAAGATGACCAGACCTGCAGCAACGTAGGAGGACATTATAATCCTTACAAAATCGACACAAAGGTACGTTCAGGTTCACTTTTACCCTTTAAGTGTAGACTACAACAAACAGAATGCTGCTATTGAATGGCACACCTCTTGGATACCAGACTTATTTTCTGTTGCCATTGAATAAGTTGTTGCTGTAGCTACAAATTCAGTTTATCTTATTGTGTTTCTTTAGTGAAACTGTTACACCTATACTGACTATGGTATCTAGAAATCTTGCCTGATTAACCACAGCAATTTTTTTTGTATACCAAAAATGTTACAGTCAGAACAGCTGCTTATGATAATATTTTTTGCATTTGATGTAGTGCCTTTTCTGGAGGACATCCCAAAGTGCTTCACAGGATTCACTGTAAAGTGCAGTTTTTGTGTATTTTTTGTAGGCAAACTCAGCAGCCAATTTCCACACAACAATGTCCCACAAACGGTCATGAAGTGAATGACCAATTTTATTGGAGGGATTATTGGCCAGGACATCAGGAGAAACGCTCTTCTATTTTTGAATAGTGCCATAGAATCTTTAACATCCAGCTGAACAGACAAATGGGACCTCATTCTCTTGTCTCACCTGGAGCTCCAATGCCTGACACACAACCTTTTGACTCAGAGCTGCGAGTGTGACCAATCGAGCCAAGCTGACACACACCTTGCTATAACATGGGTTGGCAGTTTCTGGATCCCAAACATTAGGCTGATCTGTAGACTCTCTTGTTTGACAACCTGGTAGGTAATTCAGAAATCGAATACTCACGAGACATTTTATTTGCAACACTTATTCATTTTTTTGGGGGGGAACTGAAAACATGTAAAGTCATTATTCCGAGTATTCTTTTTGTAATGAAACTGATTTGAGTTACCTCCACATTGTGATAAATCTGAAATGTTATTTTCATTGCCATTGGCATTGGTTTCAGCAATTCTATTTTTATGGTGAAATGGAAGGAAACTAAATTTAGGGAGTGGCTTCCACATCTGTTTTTAACATAAATGTATGTAAGAAAATATATTGTCAATTTTGCAACCATTTGCCAGTTTGGGTTCAGTTATCAATGCTCCAGTGACATCAGTTACAGATTATAATGTGTCCCAAAGCAACTACATTCAATTCAATAGGAGTTCCCATCTGCCAGACCTGGAAAACAATAACATGGGCAACAATGGAATTAAAGCAGGGCCCAAATTGGCTACCTCCAGCATAAATGGTGCCTCCCAAAATGCCTGGAGTGCTTTACCAATGAAATGCATTGAGTACCATATTCATGGACGTCTTGTAGTACAGTGGTTAGAGCACTCGCCTCGCAAGCGGAGCAAAACCTTAGGCAAGTTTCCTTATTCCACGAGCCTCTGTTTACGTAGCAGTAAGTAGGGATCTGTTGTTAATTGATTGGCAGATTGCTTTCCTGGGGGTAATAATCCCTTGAAAAATAAATAAATAATAATAATTTGGTCACTCAATGCATGACTGTTTGTGAGACACTGGCTACCGAGACATTGGTTGCTGCATTTCACCCACAAAATAAACAGTCAATTCACTTTACAGTATATTCTGTGAAGCGCTTTGGGACGTCTAGAAGATGTGAAAAGCACTATATCAAATGCAAGGATTATTATTATTAAAATATACAGTCAATTCACTTTGCAGTATATCTGTGAAGCACTTTGAAATGCCTCAACGATATGATAAGGCACTATATAAAATGCAAGGAATATTATTATTAGCAGCTATGTATCCTATCCTGGAGGGTGGCATGGCATTCAACATTATAATATATGTCAATCATGGTGATCACTCACACAAGGAAACTACTAATATTGTTTTCTGAAATATGACTTTGGCAATGTTATCAAGCCAAACACATGTTGAATCTGATAAGCCTATAATTTTCCTGTTAACGTCGGGGAAATGGTGCTTTGTTCACATATTACATAAAATGTTTATAGACGCATTGTGCAAACCAAAGGAAATTACATATGTTAAACAATACCTGTATTTTAACTTGAATGGAACAAAAGTGACAGCGAGCAGGGGTTGTTGAGTGGAAAGTATCCCAATTACCGATGTTAAGTTGTGTGCCCTTGCCAGCAGTGAAGTGGAAAGTTTGTACAGATTTATCAGATTAATGCAAGTCGACTGTTGTTTCAGGTGCTGCAAAAAGGAAAAATAAACTACTCGTGGAACAATTACAAATATAGTTGAACTTTCTTGATACAATAGATTACAAAAATGTGTTAGGAACTGTGATAACTGTCGCTGTCTAGGTAAACTGGTTAAAGACCAGGATTTACCAAGAGACAAGAGGATCTACAAAGAGACAATTTGCATAGCACGTTCAAAGATTCTAACCACATCTACTGTAAAGCTACTATCAGCCTTCTCCTCTACCCCAAAATCCAACTACCCTGAAAGCCCTGAGCCATGAGGAGGACCACAGCAAGTCCTCTGAGCAGCTCCGCAGGCCCCCATGTTGCCCCTTTTCCAACTTGTTTTCAGCCACTACATCCTGAAACTCAGGAACAATCTTCCTCTAACAACAAAATAACTTGCAATTATATAGCGCCCCTCAAACAGGGTAGCTTCCCAGAGCGCTTGACAGTAGCAGAGCATGACTCCGAGCCGGGGGTAGGGGGAAGTGACCGTGGGCATGGTTGAATAGGAATAATAATAATAATAATCCTTGCATTTGATATAACGTTTTTCACGTCTTAACGTCTCAAAGCGCTTCACAGAATAGACTGTAAAGTGACTTGACTGTATATTTGTGGGCGAAATATATAATATATATATAAAATAAGGAAGGTCTTAAGGCATAATATGAAAATGGGGGGGGAAGGAAGGGGCAAGGCGGAGGGATAAAGGAAAAGTTTTCCAGAGTTTCGGGGTGTAGTGGTTGAAATATGGCTACCAATGGTGGAAAGGAGGGTAAAGGCTCTAACCCTCCACCTTGCCCTTTCATCCCTAGCTATTGGCGGTGGCTGCCCAATTCCAGTCAATTGGCTGATGGCCCTATCAGTTAAGCCAACGGGTCATTTGTCTTAAAGGTGACCCTTTAACTGAGTTTTACACCCCCCCACCCAGGAATATTTCTATATGTTCAAGAACCGTACAATTTGCTATTAAAGATTTATTAAGGAATTGGTTTTCATCAATTGACCATGTTTTTTCACTTGTGGTTTCAGGCCAAATACAATTCCACCTGTTCGTTATCTTATCCTTTGCACTGTGAAGTGGGAGACATGAACTCCAAACAAGGCCCCATCAGTCTTGGGAAGAGATACTTAATGAATGACGTCAATCTGCCACTAAATGGAGATTTTACTGGTCGGTATATAGATTCATAGAATCATAGAATTGTACAGCACAAAAAGAGGCCATTTGGCCCATCGAGTTTGTGTCGGCTCTTTGAATAGAGCAATGTAATGTCAATCCCACTCCCCAGCCCTTTCCCCATAACCCTGCAAATCCGTCCTCCTCAAATACCTGTCCACCGCGTTTTTAAAAGTAGTTATCGAATCGGCCTCGACCGCCCTTTCAGACAATGTGTTCCAGATTCGAACAAGTCGTTGCGTATACACGGTTTAAAAGATGTACACGGTTTAAAAACTGCCAGAATATTACAACATAAGAAATTATTTTGTATTTAGGTGTTAGTCATTCATCCTTGTAACTCAGCACCAATCGTTGAAAGTAAAGCTGTCTTTGATTCATTTTGAGAAGATCTATTGAGAGAAGACTTGATATATTAACATTTTGAGTTACTGAACCCATTAGTTATTAGAAGTCATTGAACCATGGGTTTCGTAAAGGCACTAACATAGCTGGCAATATGCCATCTGACTAGAAAGTTGCAGGTTCAATTCATATTGGAATTGGCCTTAGCTTGGAGCTGTAGGCAGGATGATGATGATGCTCTCATGGATTTCATATTGAGCTGTACTGCCCAACATAAAACTGGTGGAGAGTTCCTGGAGCCTGCTAGCCACCTAGCTGAACAAGTAGCAGGAAGCTTGCCAGATAGTGATTTCAATGACAAGCTGTGTGGTTTTAGCTGGTTAAACTCCAGCAGTACCACAAGCCACACTTTGGAGTCCTCAGGTCTTGGCTCTTGCCAACCTATGCCTGATACACTCCAGATTTAGTCAAACAGGATACGTCACTCCAAAGAGAGAGAGTTTCCATTCCAAAGCCATGGAAATTTCCATGTGCAGCTGGCATAAATATGTGGAGCTTTGTCTGGCTTGGATACTCTTAAGCATGGTGACGGCTTTCCGCATAAGTCAGACACTCAGCTGACCAAAAAATACTGAATAGAGTGTACATGTTTATCTTGGATAGAATTCATTTATGTATTTGCATTTCATTCGTCATTGTGAAGTAGTGCTAAGATGTGCATCCTATATGAAAGGAATTATTGCTGTTTAATGGATACCGTTCTAATTGTTTTATTCAATTCTAGTTGTGGGCCGATCAGTGGTGGTCCACAGTAATGGACCTAAAGGAAAGTTGATGAATTGTGGTACCGTTGTTGCCGACTCTCCAGTGAAATCACTTATTTTTCCCACCGTGAAACATTTCAGCAGGTAGGCACTGGAAAGTGGAAGTAGGCTTGCGATCAAAACATTCAAAATATCTCAAGAGAAACTTGAGTGGATTATTATGTTTGGATATCTGATTACCACCCCACCTCCCATTGTGTAAATGTCCTGAAATCACTCCTGGCATTCTGTGATTTTAATACTTCCTCCAAACTTCTTGTAATAATAGAAATAACTTGCGTACGTTTGGGGATGCAACCAATGAAAGTTATAGAGGTTTAAAGTTTCGCTTTGACAAAAGATAAAATGGTTTGAAATACGGTAATTCTATCCTTAAAAGTCTTTTTTTCTTACATTGAGAATGGCCCATAGTACTGGATTGAAACAAGGTTGAAAAGAGTCATTCAGATGCATATTAGGTACATTTTCTTTATATGGTTCCAACTATCTTGTTTAAGATAATCTTTAAACAGAGTTGTATTTAAATGTTAGTGCTTTTTGTTTCAACTTCATCCCTTTCTTCTTCAGTGTTTAATGGGACTAGATGCTGCTTTAAGTCCAAGCCTTTCACCCCCAGCTCTGTCTTGAACATCTAAATACAATAGATGCTCGGACAGTGGTCACTTGCTGTTTAAATTTTTCTCGAAAGATAACATTAAATCTATCTTTAATAAAGAGATTTCCCAGGCTTTTCCCTAGGCTTTTCTAAATCATTCTTTGTGACAGGAAAATAAAGAGAAATATAGCAGAACAAAAAAAACTTCACTGGTTAAAAATAATTAGGAATTGAATTATAATAAAAAAACTTGCATTTGATACAACACCTTATCACGTTGTCGAGCTATCTCAAAGCGCTTCACAAAATATCCTGTAATGTGAATTTACTGTATATTTTGTAGTATGTAGTAGCCAATTGCGCACAGCAATTTTTACAATTAGGTAGCCCTTAGGTCCCCAAAACAGAAGTAATGCATAGTAACAATTTTAGGCAGCAGTTGACAATAGATCAATCTGCTATATGAATCTAGTAATATGATGTATTTCCATTATTTTAAAGAGCTGAAATTATGCCACTTAAGATTATACAAGAATGAAATGAAACAGTGTACAAAAAAGAGAAAGTGCACTTAAGTTCTTTTTTCATGGAACAATGTTTTTATTTTTAAAATGTTGCAGTTGACTCTTGTTGGTTTTGCCCAATAATATATCATTTCTAGGAGCTCCAATTAACATCTTGATGTGAACCAGTGGGAGTTTTAGTTTGTGCTAATGCAGTGGAGTGATCTTTCCACTTTGGGTATATTTGTTTACATGGTGGTAACCCAGTGGAAAGATTATTCCAACTGGCTGCACTGTGCATTTGGTACAATGTAAAACTGCTACTGGCTCACAAAGATAAATTAATTGGAGCTCAGTGACCAGGCAGATGACTCGGGATTGATTCCCAGAGCACTAGAGCAGCCTAGCGAACGTCCTAGGTTCCCCTCTACTGGGTCCAGCCAACTCCGTGTCCCCCGAATCCTCCGCTACACCATTGGCGGCCGTGCCTTCAGCCACTACGCCTCGAATCGTTGGAACTCCCTCCCTCAACCGCTTCACCTCACCTCCTTCCCCATCTTCAGGTCGCTCCTGAAGACCTTCCTCTTCGACCGCGCCTACGGTCACCTTCTGCCTCCCCCTGGCTCGGCCTCGGGGCTCTGCCATTGTTAAGCAGCCTGAGATGCTGCCTGGCGTGGAGGGCAATATATAAATGCAAGTTGTTGTTGTTATGGGGTTTAAAACACACGCATGAAAACGGCATTTTAAATGATGCCTTACTTTACGCCTTGAAATGGCGACTTGAAAGGCGCTATACAAATGTAATCTTGTTGTTGTTATGCCGGAAAGATCAATCCCAGAATTTACGTACCATATACTCAAGGACAGTATTGCCTTAGTTTAAAAATAGCTATGGTTTTAATCTTTGTAGTGACAGGAATCTGGTCTGCTCCATGTACCCTGCTCTCCCGCCCCATGATTGGCGGTCAGGCCTTCAGCCTTTCTGCCCCATCCTATTGGAACTCCATCCCACAGTCCCTTTGCCTCACCCCCTCCCTAACCTCCTTCAAGGCCCATCTCTAAACCCAACTCTTCGGCAATGGGTTCGGTCACCCTCCTTCCCCCACCCTCCCTGCCCTCCATCGCCCAATCCCCAGTTTTGCAAATCCTTGACTGTGGATTGATTCTCAAGGCGCTATACAAATATAATTTGTTATTAAAGAAAACAATCACTCTGTTGTTTCCTGTTTTCAGTTAAGCATTGCAAGCATTGAAGCTGTGAAGTACAGGAGAGATGTTTTCATTTTGCAAAATAGGGAAACGTGGTTGGGAAATTCAATTGAAAAAACATTGCACAACACAATGTCCTGAAACTGCTGAATTCAGTGTGTACAACATTTACTGATCATATTAATATTTTAACTGTGGAAATAAATTATTCTCAGAACAGCTTGACCTCAGCATGAAAATGTGCTGTATCAAATGCAAGGATTATATTATTATTATTAATCTATTATTAATCTAACAGCCTAAACTGAAAATAAGAGACTAATATCAGGACTGTGTTCTGTTTGTAGATATGATTTCCGTCATACCATTGCTGACTTCCTGGGGATTCAAGTCTGGAGGGTAACCATTTTACCAGAAGGAAAAGGTGTGTTGGTGACAAAGGGCTGCCAGAAAGTCCGCTTTTACACCGTGGGTGAGTTTTCTGAAGTAGTCTGCGAGATTTGTCAAGCAAAAGAAAAGTTAGCACTGTTTTCCCAGTCTCACTGAATGTCTTCTTTGGCTTAATTTGTAAATAATGTGCTTAACTTGTACTTAAACACTATAATTTCTGTTTTTGAAAAGAAAGGTGTGAAATTTAGTGGGGTGGAATACATGCGGCAATTTTTACCAGAATTCCTTAATTAAGGAATCCCAGGAGACTTCTTTCAGTGACTAGAAAAATACCACATACCTCAGGCTGACTGACAGTGACATTACCGAAAGTAACTGCTTCTTTGTTAAGTAATCCTGTTAGAAATTGCTGGGACAGAATTCATTGTCTTCAGAGTTAACAGGTCTGTAGTGGACAGAGCTGCAGCTAACAGAGTTTGATGGTCTAAATTGACCCCAGAGTTAGAGCTGCTCTAAATTGACTCCAAGTGTTGTGTTCCCTAACCCTGGGGCAATTTAGACCATTTACCTTCGGTGCTTGTGTGTGGCAGCCGGGTGAGGAGAGGTGATGCCCTCTACAGTCGCATGGTCCGTCGATACCCAATGCCAAGGTTTGCCATGAACAATGTACAGTTGGGTGAGTTACCGGAGAACAACTAGCACCATTTGAACCATACTCCAGCATGAGAAGGCATTGGGATTAGGAGTAGAGATGTACCAAAGAGGAAAAAATGAGGGGAAAAACGTTGGAGAAAATTGCAATGAAGCAGACTTACTGCATTGTTTTGTGGTGAGGATATGGTTGATGGTGGTCAGAAATCTCACTGAAAGCAGGAGGATGGAGAGCTTCACTGAGATCACAAACCAATGGCTGCCACTATACTGCATGCACACACACACACACACACACCTTTTGAGTTATAGTGTCTCTGGCCGTACTTGGTTTGCGCAACTGCTTATGCTTTGTGTCATGAGACAACACAAGCTGCCATTTCCCTAATGGTCATGACCTTATAAGAGACCAGCCCAGACATGTTGTCTCAGAACCGTGTCGATGACTAAATACAAATTGTACTCTTGTGCCTGGACCTGAGTCCGCAGTCCTGTCATTCAACCAATATACATATTGCAAAACCGTAGGTTTTGCCTCTCGAAGTATGGTAATGGTGTAATTAGAGATTCAATTTCATCTTGCTGAAATCTCTTAAACTCTGCAACTCCCTGCTTCCTTGCTCCTCGCCCCCTTTTTAATCTAGCTTTAACCCCACCTGAAGACCTACCTCTTTGACCGCGCCTTTGGCCACCTCCCCCTCCCTCTTCTCCCTTGCTTGGCATCCAAACCGGTCACTATTCAGTATTTTGAGATGTTATCCAGTGCCAAGGACACTATATAAATACACCATTTGCTTGCCGTTGCTATGAGATCATGCCAGTATAAATATTCAGGATTTTTTTTCTACGGCTACCTGCTTTCTCCCCACTCCACTACCCACTGCCTCTGCTTGGCTGGTTCTGGCCTCCTGCTCGCCCATCATCCCCTCTGTTCCACCATCAGCGACCATGATTCCAGCCACTTCAACCCGAAGCTTTGGAACTCTCTCTCTCTCTCTCTCCTCTCTCTCTCTCTCAAGACCTCCGTCTTGCCCCCTCCTTTCTCTCTTTTAGATCACAACTGAAAATCTTCCCGTCCTCTCTTCCCCGGGCTCGGTGTCAGACTCTGCCACTGTTAATCCCTCCATGATGCTGCCCCACGTGAAAGGCGCTGCATAAATGCAAGTTATTATTGTTGTTCAGGAGTGAGGATGAGGGGAGAGGGCAATTTCTGCAACTCTTGATTAATCAGCAGGATCGACAGAAGAGAAATAAAGTCTAACATCCTTTGTACTGAACATGTTCTGGAAACGCACTGCATTTGTGAAAGGCAGACGCCCTCCTCCATCCTGAGTCTCTCGCATGATTCCTGCTTTCTGAAGCTAGATGACCTTGCCATGTCATTTGTTCACAGCTTCTTCCCCTTGCTCACCTAATTAACTGAGACAGATTATTCCAAAAACCGTCAATAACACTTCATAACGAATCTACACCAAGCCACTTAAGAGCTCATTTGGGAGTCAACGTGAAGAAAGATTTTCCGAATTGGTAAGAAGGGACATCACACACATCACACAAACACATGCCTTTTTAACAACACTCTCCATTTAGTTTAACCTTGAGCTAGTTTCGCTTTGGAGTCTGATCCACACTGTAGTCTGTGCTCTCTGAACCTGATTCCCTTAACTTGTGGCTGAAAGCCGTGCATGCTCTTTCACGCAGGGGCATTCATTCTCTGTAAGAGTTTCAGTTGTAGTTTTCTGAGGTTAGATTGTGTTGGTGGGTGCAGGTGCACTCTATCATGCAAATGCTAGCATTCAGGGAGGCACAGAAGTACAGAGCGCTTGGCAGTGACAGGAAACATAGGTTTTACATAACATGCACAGCCCCTTATAATACCTCCCCACTGTAGAGTTGCTAAAGATAACTCCACACTGCTCATATTTTACACTCCACACTGTGAACCTGTTTATACTGCGTTATTGTGGCTATGTTGGGTGGAGCCTGAATGTAATCAGTCAACTTTTCAGTCTGTGGTTTTAGTGGAGAAATGTCCATCCTCCCATTATCTTTAAGAGGACACTATTTTTATCCTAAAACTTGGTGAAATATGAAATTCAATGTGCAGACAGAGAGGAATCTGACTCAACCTGTGAACCTGCTAACTCTTTATGATTGTTGCGTCAATGGAATGTTTTATTGCAGTAATCAGGGTGATGTCTTGATGACAGAACATAGATTTACTTGGTAATGAGGGCCCATTGCCCAGAAGAGTTGAGGGGACGTTTGAAAGGCATTTTGTTCATGCAATTCCTTTCTAAATATGGTTATTCTCTCAGATGCAGCAAAAGATTGCACGCTCAAATAACCTGCATTTTGTTCATGAAGGAGGTTATTTGAGCATGCAATCTTTTCTGCATCTGAGAGAATAATCAAATCTAGAAAGGATATTGTTAAATATTTGAAGGGGGAATTTTGTTAATACGGGAGTATAAAGATAGTCATGGAAATGAACAGGGAGTTGAGATTAGTGTAGTATGGGGACAAAGGGAGGCGCCTAAGAGCGTTGGTAACTAAAGAAAAAAAAGTAATACAAGTATTAAAAATCTAGTTAAAAATTAAAATCTAATAACCAATGTTCTTAATATAATTATTTTCTGGACCACAGCCTGGTTATATTGTGGTGACAATGCTTCTCTTACCAGCTACGTCCGTTACCTGTTTCCTGCCTATAAACCCTTGAGCTTTTTTTTTTTGCAAGTTAGGAGACGTTCTTTAATTTCCACAGGGAACAAACTATTTCTTTATCATCTCTGTAACCAGAGAACGGCCACTTAATGGCAGTGGTTGCAGAAGGAACCTTTCCTTTTCATTCCTCTTTCAGGAACTCACTGTATGCCACGCTCAGTAAGTCCTGTTTAGAATGAAGTGGATTGCAGAAATAATAAGCAAAAGGGACAGTACGAGGCTGTGCTGTACAGCTCTCACAAGAGGGAATCTCTGATTAATAGAAGCCTTTGTTAAAGCCATCAAATCTTGCAAAAGATTCCCCTCACTCAGTGCCATGAATGAACACTATCCTTTTGCAGACCTCTTCTGGTCTGTCAAAGGAGAGATAGAGACAAGGTCAGGGATCAACTGGGTAAAAGTAACTCTGATTGCACAAATTTTGTCTTGCTGTTCGCGGACAAGATTTGAAGCGATGATGTTACAAGCTTTGCCGATGTCCTGTGTTGACAGGACTCAGAATCAAAGATCTTTAAAACCTCAGTTAAGCACATCTAAGTTGGCTCAGTTCCCAGAAAGGTCTTCAGACTCTGAACTCAGATGAGGTAGGAGTGGAGTGGAAGAGGGAGATATAGTTATAATAATAATAATAATAATAATCCTTGCATTTGATATAGCACTTCAATGCCCCTGATTTGTAAGGAAGATCTAATATTTCAAAATAATTATGCTTATTAATAATCCTTATAGCTATAACATCTGCATGTTTAATGTATATTTGAATTGATTTATAATAATAATAATTCTTGCATTTTGATATAGTACTTTTCACATCGTCTACACGTCTCAAAGTGCATCACAGAATATGCCATAAAGTGAATTAACTGTATATTTGTGGGCGATTTTGTTTTTGTTTTTTGGAGGGATTATTATTAGGCGTGTGGAGTAAGGAAACTTGTCCAAGGTTTCGCCCTGCCTGGAATTGAACCCAGGTTTCTCGTTTGCAAGGCGAGTGCTCTAACCACTGAGCTACAGGGTTCCTAATGTTAAATCAGTGCTATGCATTATTGAACTCTTGAATTTATTCTTAGCCCATCCTCCATGATATATATATATATATAAGAAAGTGTTTACAGCAGTATGCTGTTGTAAACACTTTATCTCATTTATATATATTTATACATCTGCAAGCAGATCTCAGACAGATGCAAGGCCAATAGCGTCGTAATAATGGGGAACTTTAATTATCCCCAAATAGACTGGCAAAACAGCAGCGCAAAGGGCAAAGAGGGGGACATATTCCAAAAATGTATGCAGGACAACTTGCTTGATCAGTATGTTTCCAGCCCAACAAGGAATGAAGCAGAGCTAGATCTAGTTCAGGTAAATGAAGTAGGGCAAGTGGAGCAGGTTTCAGTGGGAGAGCATCTGGGTAATCGTGATCATAACATCATTAGATTCAAAGTGCATATGGAAAGAGACAAGGAACCATCTAAGGTAAAGATATTCAAATTGAAGAGGGCAAATTTCAGTGAGTTAAAAAGGGACCGAGCCAAGGTGGACTGGAAAGAAAGATTGGCAGGTAAAACAACTAAAGAGCAGTGGGAAGTCTTCAACGATGAGATAGCTCAGGGACAAAATAAATCCATTCCCACAAAAAGGAAAAGTAGGGCTTCCAAACCTCCCTGGATGACAAAGGTAATTGTATCTAAAATGAAGCAGAAAAAGGAGGCGTATGACAAATGTCAAACCCAAGATACGGAAGACAACCAAATCGAATAAAGGAAGTGCAGAAGAGGTTTGAAAAAGGAAATAAGAGGGGCAAAAAGATTGTACGAAAAAAGGTTAGCGGATAACATTAAAGGGAATTCTAAAATATTTTACAAACATGTCAAGAAAAAAGGCTAGTCAAAGGTAGGGTGGGGCCAATTAAGGACCAAGGGGGAAATCTTATTGTGGAGGCAGAGGGCATGGCTGATGTGCTGAATGAGTACTTTGCATCTGTCTTCACAAAAGAAGTGGATGCACCAAATGCCGCAGTGTTGGAGGAGAGGGTAGAGGGAATGGATAGGATAAGTATGAACAGAGAGGAAGTACTGAAAAGGTTGACTGTGCTGAAGGTAGATAAGTCGCCCGGTCCGGACGGGATGCAACCAAGGTTACTATGGGAGGTATGGGTACAAATAGCGGAGGCTTTGGCTACAATTTTTGAATCTTTGTTGGACACAGGAGTGGTGCCCGAGGACTGGAGAGTGGCCAATGTGACTCCCCTGTACAAAAAGGGACAGAAGGACAAACCTGGGAACTACAGGCCAGTCAGCCTAACATCAGTAGTGGGGAAACTCCTGGAGACTATAATCCGGGACAGAATAAATCTTCACTTAGAAGAATATGGTTTAATTAGGGACAGCCAACATGGATTTGTTAAAGGCAAATCTTGTCTAACAAATCTAATAGAATTTTTCGATGAGGTAACGGAGAGGGTGGATAAAGGTAGTGCAGTTGATGTAGTTTATATGGATTTTCAAAAGGCATTTGACAAAGTGCCACATGAAAGACGTGTAAGAAAGATGGTATAAAAAGGAGAGTGGCAGCATGGATCCAGAACTGGTTGGAAGACAGAAAGCAGAGAGTTGTGGTGAACGGCTGCTTTTCTGACTGGAGAGAAGTGTACCGTGGCGTCCCCCAGGGCTCGGTATTAGGACCACTGCTCTTCTTAATGTACATAAATGATCTGGACTTGGGTATAGCAAGTACATTTCCAAGTTTGCGGACGACACAATGTCAGATAGGGTGGTAAACAGTAATAATATTATTATTACCTCCAGACAAGCAATTCACCAATTGACTAACAACCAGATTCCTACTTACTACTAGGTAAACAGAGACATGTAGAGTAAGGAAACGTGCCCAACATTTTGCTCTGCAGGGAATTGAACCCAGGTCTCTTGCTTGTGAGGCGAGTGCTCCAAACTCGTGAGCTACAGGATTCCACTCCCATTCTGCTCTTACCTAGCATCTATACAAATATAGCTGTCTAGGTATCAAATCTAGGTTTGTTCTTGATCTGAGAGCTCAGTGTCACACTGAGAGGCAAGTTTACTTACTGCACCATAAAGAGAGCTCAATGGAAATGTTTACAGCAGTAAGTTGAAAGAGTCAATGTTTTTTGCAATCAGAGTTGCCCACAATTCCATCAGTTCTATTTCAGAAACAAACTATTCAAAGTCAAACATAAGAAAATGCCCAGTCTTCTAAATGGCTTCCTGTTTAAACATTAACAGAGTGTTTAGGAAAAGTTCTTTGTCAATGTATGATACAGAGATTCTTCCAACTCTTAGGAAATTATGACTTTGGGATCGTCATAACATTGTACACACAGACTTTTGGGCAAATATTCGACTTGGTTTGGATTTATGTAGCATTTACGGGGTCCTGTGTTGACTATACGGTATTCAAAACCAAAGTCCTTTAAAACCTTGGGTAAGTTCATCTGTTGGGTGAATTCGTAGGAAGGTTCCCAGGTTCAGTCACAAACTTTTCAAACTTAGGCAGCATTTATGAATTTTCCAAATTCTGGATGGTCTAAACTGCTACATAAATAGAGTAAATCTAGACCAATATGAATATCTCCCTGTATGTTTGGCAGCCTTATGATCCACAATGACAACATGATTGACAAGCACCAAGGTAAGTTTGATCTACCATGAAATACAACACAAAATTTCCCCAGACTCACGGTAAGACTAGTGGGGAGATTAACAGATCCAACCGTTCTGGGATCTGGAGTCAGTATCACTGTACAGTGAGCACTTTTCATGTTAAGCGAACACTCCACCATGTCTTTAAACTGTGAAACTATTATATCTTAGAAATGTGATAAGTGAAATTCCTTTCCCCTTTCAGGAAATGTTGATCAGCAAAAACTGAATGCAATAGAGAAAAGTAAGGAGTTGGGTAATTACACAACTACAGACGATTGCAGATCAGGTATGTCATGTCATTTTGCAATTGCAGTACTTACAAATATTGTTTTTGTTGCTTTGGGTACAATAATTAATAATAATAATCCTTGCATTTGATATTGCACCTTATCACGTGGTTGATTAGTTAACTACCTGCTGGTGTTCCTAATAACATTACCTATAAAAACCTTTAGGAATCTGTTTAGGAATCCTGCAAATTTTGCGGCATAATAATAATAATCCTTGCATTTGATATAGTGCCTCATCATGTCTTGGAGACGTCTCAAAGCGCTTCACAGAATATACTGTAAAGTGTAGTGGCTGTATATTTTGTAGGCGAGACATGGCAGCCAAATGTGCCCAGCAGTGTCCACAGACAGTTGTGGGATATTCTTTAAAATAATGTTTTTTTTCTTTTCTGTGAGTTTATAATAATAATTATAATCTCTTTCTGGTTTTTAACAGATCCCAGTGGCGCTGCCGGCTCTGGCCATTTCCCAAATGACCAAACACTGATTCTCTTGATATTGGCTGTAATGATGCAGTTTGGTCTGTACTGTGTATTAGAATAGTTGACTTTGCTCTGTGGATGACGCTAGCTATCTGCCTCAGTATTGCTGTCCAACCCAGAATACTGCCTTCCCCCGACCCAAACCCAACTTTAATGCATTTAAATCAACTCAGAGCCTTTGCTGTCTTTGGTCACCTTGCATCGCACACACTAATCCATTTTTTTTAGACCTATACTTTTATTTTCCTATGAACCAACATCTAAGATGTAAAGTGGAACATATTCATAGGGATATCTTTTGGTTAAAAGTAGCAGTGAATCAACTCAAAAAGATGCAATGAAATTATTGCAAGGGAGCTAATCTAATCTCGGTATTTAGCAGGCCGAACTGAGATTACGTTTTTATCTGTTGAAACAAAAATATACTCAGCAGTTTTAGCTGGTTGAACTCCACCAGTCCTCTGGGGTCCCCAAACCTTTGGCTCTCACCAACCTGTGCCTGATACTTTTCAGAATTAGGTAAACAGCTTGCAAATTTCCAGGGAGAGAGAGTGCACATTCCATTCCAGAAACAGGGACATTTCCACGTGTAAACTCTCAGTTTCATTTGGATACTCTTAAGTATGATGATGGGTTTCTTTATGTGTTGGACCCCCCAAAAATCACAGTAAACAACCACATGATTTGGACATTGTCACTTCAGTTCATAGACAAATAATTTGCAGCTGATCAGCAGGAAATTTAAATGTCCAGTGCTATTATTTACATATGTTTTAAGCAACAGCAAGTAATGTTTTTCTGAAAACAAACTTCTGTACTTGTCAGTAGAACTGGTGCATAGTACTACAGTGTCTTATGGAGACATGAGCCTAACCATACCGGAACAGTACAGCACGACACATTCTGACACAGTAAGGGCACAGCTAAGCATAATCTACCAAAAATACCTTCGTGTTTATTGTACAATCTTTTTGATGCTTATAATTTAGGGATATTGTGTGAATGTATAAAAAAAATGTGAAAATTGACACTGTGTTGTCTGTAGTTGAGAGGTTTTTTTAGATTAACTGATTATGTGTATAAAATTTTATATTGAGTAAAACTTGTTACTTTTCGTATAAAGGGGTCAAAATTGATTAGGTATGCACAGATTTTATTCGACCAATTTAATAATGGATTCTATGTACTAATATCTGACTTTCTGGAGAGGCGCTCCAGAATAATGCAGTTGGATTGTGCTTTGCACTATGGATCTGAAGATCTTGGACCCAAAAGGCATACAAAATGTTTGGGGAAACAATCAACTGTACTTGGCTGAATCTGAGCCTAGAGATAGGAGGGTAAACAGTTTATCAACTTCTGAAGAGGAGGAGGGGGAAAAGGAGAACAAAACTTTGTAAATTTACAGATTTTTTTATTATAATGGCTCCACCATAATGATATGCAATGCAAGCTCCAGAAGCAGAGTCTCTCACTTTGACATCTGCATCAAGTGTTTGGTAAACAGACAGAATGGGTTACTAAACAGGCAGTCACAAGGTTAGTGAGCCCTTTAAGGGTGAAGGATTAGCTGGGAATGTTTACAGTGGGTAAATGCTCATGCTCAAGACTATTGACGTACAATATGTGGGCCTCACTGACATGCCTGCATTGGCATAAATCCTAAAAACACAATTCTAATTTGTATGATGGTTGAATGGCCTCTTTCTGTGCTGTAATATTCTGTGATTCTATAATTTTAATACACCAGGCAGTGTGCTAGCTGGTTAATGTTTCTTAATTATTAGAAAAGATTTTAGTCCTATAAGAGTTTTATTTAAAAAATCTGTTCAAACGGAGACGAAGGAAAATTGAAGTAAGGGCTCGCCGGTGATACGATTTATAATAATAATCCTTGCACTTGATATAGAGCCTTATTACATTGTTGAGACATCTCAAAGCGTTTCACAGAATATATTGTAAAATGGATTGACTGTATTCTGTAGGCAAATCGTGGCTGCCAATTGCACACAGCAATGTCCCACAAACAGTTGTGCAGTGAGTGACCAAATTATTATTATGGAGGGATTATTATCCCCAGAAAGTGATGACTAACAACCGGGTTCCTACTTACTGCTGGGGAAACCAAGGTATGTGGAGTAAGGAAACCTGCCGAAGGTTTTGCCCTGCCCGGGAATCAAACCCAAGTCCCCTCGATCTGCCTCAAAGTTGCTGAAGGAAGGGACTTTCACTAATTGTGTTGCCTCATGTGATTATTTCCATACTGCTTATTGTTGTGGCTTAACTCCATATCAGATTGTTCTTTAGTGCAAATTATCGGGCAGCGGGGAAGAAGAAAAGGGAAAGGTTTAGTTTGATAGGTGCTAATGCTTATTGCACTTTTACAATTGGATATACAGTATATGAACTAGTTTTACAATTAGGTGAGCTATAAAGCTGAATGCAATTAAGACTGTCTTTTTGATGTTAAATGTGCCTGTGCTTTTTGCTGTAAATATTCATATTTCACTTAATGCAACTTCAATTTTGTTAGCCATATGATAAATCTTGCGGTCTGTGTGTGGTAAACATGATGCTGACTCTCACCGTGTCACAAGTGGAATAATCGAGTTTTATTCTGATCTCCTAATCATATCGTGTAGCTCCTAGTTACAATTTAAATCAGTGACTGGCCATTAAAATGGATGAATTGGTATCTCTGTGGGGGCTGAGTGCAGGGATCGATGGTAAAGATGGATGGAACGATACCAGCGCAAGATGTGAGCACAGTGAGCTGGCTCCTACTAGAAGATATCAGCTCTGCAACCAACGGTCGGTCATCTGTGCTTTACCTTCATTGCAAATCCCAGCTCGCAATGTGATTCACTTGATTGCAGTAGTGAACAACATTATCATAAAGTTGCACAATGACGAAACTCCATGGAAACCATTTTGACTAGTCACTTGTTTCTGATTCATTATGTACAGTGCCGGTGATGTTTCATGTGAAATAAAAACCCAGAACAAACAATTTGAGTTTTTTTATTGAGTCTAATTGGTTTTATTTTAATAGTTCTATTGTTATACCTTCTTTTCCTGACGTTGCTGAGGGGTAGGTCCTCCTGATGTGAAAGGCATTATATAAATGTAATTTGTTGTTGTTGTGTACTGGGGTATGGCTCCCCAGAACGGTAGCCCTTTGATATCTAACCTGAGTGGCCAGTCTTCATGTGAGCTAAGCAAGAAGTATCAGCAGGCAATTTGACCATGGAGGATATCACAGCCAAGCCATGACTGTGCCAATATTTGATACCTGCACATATAGGTGGACGAACCCTGTTATATGGCTTTAGCTAGAGCGCGAGTCTTCTTATAACACGTGTCTCCCGTGGACCTGTTTCTGAAAGCACAGTGCAATTCCGGCTTCTAGCGCCAACTTCCTCCGCATGTGTGCAGTGTTGAACCCACAAACTTCTGACTGAAAAGATGAGAGTGGTGCAAACTAAGCAAGGCTGACATACTATGGTATATTGTCAAAGGCAGGGGAGGGTGGCAGACAAGGGTTACTGATCTCTTTTAAAGTGGAATTGTGGGCTTGGTGAGACAATCTATTCCTCAGATTTCTGATGATATTAACGCAACAAATACTTCAGTTGTAAGACAGTTGACTTCAAGAGGAACCGACCCCTAAACCATGGTGGTTGTTTTTTTACATCTACCATAAATAAAGTTAGAAACAGGAACTAAAATTGACATCTGCCTCTCATGGTTATTGATATAAATTTTTAATCTGGAAATTACTTCGGGCTTGAATTTAAAGAAATAAAAATGACTATTGCACCAATATAACATTGGTAGAGTAACACTAACTTGTCTCATTCCTTGTTAATAATACTAATAATAACGTCTCAAAGCGCTTCACAGAATATATTGTCAAGTGAATTGACTGTATATTTGTGGGTGAAACGCGGCAGCCAATTGCGCACAGCAGTGTCCCACAAACAATCATGGAATGAAATGACCAATTTATTATTTTTTTTCTTGAGGCACTATTATCAGGCGTGTGGAGTAAGGAAACTTGCCCAAGGTTTTGCCCTGCTGTTAGTGGATGAGAATCCAGTGCTAGTGAAGGGAAGGAATGAAAGGAAGAGTCAACAACAAAGGATATAAAGCGATGTTGCAGTGAATGTTTTTATTCCTTTTTATGTTGAAATATGTAAAAGTGCTTTCCGACAAGAATTGCCAAGTGTCGTGACTATGTTTTTTGTACGCAAGCATTTTGCACTCGCAAGTCTCGCAAACAGCTACAAAGCTTATAACCAATTTGTCTGAATGATTGTTGCCTGAATTGAGTGAGAGTGAAAGGTACTTTGATACTTAACTCACAACCCTTGAAATTTCAAGTCATAATCTACTGTTTCCTCTACTGTCCCACTTTCTGTTTTAGTGGGGGTGCGGGAACAATAGTATTAACTTGAGTTAAAAGAGCAATATTAAATGTTAAAAACTTGTAATAAGGTGGTCAAAGTGCCAGACAGCTACGGGTAAGAAACCCTGTATCATTCAGATAATTAAGATAAGTTTCGCCCACAAGATACACAGTCAATCCATTTTACAATATATTCTGTGAAACACTTTGAGACGTATCAATGACGCGATAAGGCTCTAGATCAAATGCAAGGATTATTATTAACAACATGAGAACTGGTTATTTTGAAAGGCTGTACAAAGACATCACAATCTCAGGGTTTTTAAGGTTAAAATGTAACCTTATTTTAACCTTATTTTTCACCCAATTTTTGGGTGAATGCTTTTCAGATTCAAACACAGGGCAATGTGACAGCATGCAGTGTATAGTTGGCAATCTTTTCACTACAGTGTTTGTAACTGGAAATCCCCCTTCTACACGTGGAACTAAATACTGATTGGCGTCAGACATCGGTGGCTTGAGGTAACCCGCTGTTCCATAAAAGCTGTATGTTTTATAGTATGATTCTTTGACCCGCTTCCCATTACCCTCCGGTCCACCATGGGCAGGTGTCACCCACTTTGTCCCCTGCTCTCTCCAACGCTCTCCCAAATATATATAATAATCCTTGCATTTGATGTAGCACCTTACCATGTTGTTAAGATGCCTCAAAGTGCATTGACTGTATATTGTGGTTGAAATGCGGCAGCCAATTTTGCGCAGCAGTGTCCCAACAATCAGTCGGGGATTGAGTGACCAAATTATTTTTTTATTTGAAGGGATTATTACCCCTGGAAAGTGATCCCCCAATTGACTAGCGACCGGGTTCTTACTTACTGCTAGGTAAACAGAGGCGTGAGGTATAAGGAAACTTGCCTAAGGTTTCAACCTGCCCGGGAATTGAACCCGGGCCCTCTCGCTTGTGAGGCAAGCGCTCTAACCAAATACGCTAACAGGACTCCAGCTTGCCATTGAGAGCACTGCCTGGCAAGCTTTCAGAGCTTGGAATGATTT